ATTTAATGTCCCGAGGGATCCAGTCAGTAACCGCTTTGGTCCAACGGTCGTCACTATATCGCATAACATGCCCGGCCCACCCGATCCTCGATTTCTTGGCTTAATCAACCGCGTCTCTGATCTTCGCTCGCTGACGGAGCTCGGAACTACGGATCCCCTTCTGTACTTGCGTGTATTGGAAAATTCTAAGTATAGTCTTTTCCAAAGCGCGTTGAGTAACGCCGACAGCATGCTCATCCTCCTTTCGTGTAATCCAAGTTTCGTCAAAGCAGGAAGAACAGCAGTGTTGAAAAGGTGTTCTTTGTCTTCTTCACTATTCCCTCGATACTCCTAAATGCTCCCCACGCGGCGCGTTTCTCTCTGCACAGCTCCGGAGCTAGGTCGTTCATCATGTTGACTTCCCGCCCTAGATACACTGATGCATTCGGAGATATTCGTCCCGTTTAGCGTGAAGGGAGCATCAGGTACCAATACTTTTTTCATGAGCATCGTCTTTGTTAAGTTCAGTCTCAAGCCGATCTTTTCACAAGCATTGTCAAACTCGACCAGCATTCGTGGGAGTAGGTTGGTCAAGTAATACCACCCCTTTCCAGCTCATCCATTGACGTTCTCGCATGGGGTGGTCAAGCATTATCCATCTCAATCAAAGATTTTCTTGTAATCGGTATGAAATGGGGGACGATACACCAGCTCTCTCATTTGGTGAGAGAAAACTCTTGCGTTTATCTAGAACACTCTGGTAGGTTCTCATAGAAAAACACCCGTTTGAGCAGAGATAAAATGAACTCCTGTCATTCCTGGCATGAGCGCCTGGCTTTGTAGCGAGCTGTGATCTGCGTCCACTGTTACACATTCTGATTTCCTNTTAACGAAGTTGATTGATGGCGTCGTCCACTTACAGTCGAGGAGCTTCTGACAAAACTCGCACCCGACACTCCTGCTCAGTCAAGGACTATGCGCTATTTGCACATAGCACTGCTCAAAAAGACTTTTGCGTAGAACGTCGAGGATGATGGATTGGAAAATGGAGATCGTCTTTTCCACTTTCCGCCACTTTGCGGATGGTTGCCTGGGCGGGAGGCCAAAACAGTGTCGCTATTTGAGGACGGTGGACGTTCACTTTGACGTTGAAGCATATCTCTTTTGAGAAGAAGTAATGACGACAAGGAAGGGTGCACTGCTTCTCATCAGTCACCATACCTCAATCCATGCCTTAGTGTCGAAACGATCAGTCTCGTAATGGCGAAGCAGAAGGCTCCGGTATTCGCGTCGATGACACATCCTTCGTTCGATGATTACCTGTTTCGAACGACTACGTCAAATACCGGTCAGCCATAGTATCGATCCATGAACAATGCCCTTCCCCTGCTATCGCATATATGTATAATACATATAGTCCTTCAGCACCTTCGAGAGCAATATGCTTTCACATTTGAGGGGCTTGATTTTCCTAGAACTTTACGGAAACCCTATAGAACTTTCACTCTTGATGCGTGATTTGCTGAAATGGAAAAAAAACAATTTTGGATGAAGCTTCATCGTGGATGCGGCAAATGAAAATGTTTCTATGCTTTTTTTGAGTAAAAACGAGTAATGTTCATATAGTGTCAAGTAACTCGCTTTATGGTTTGTTCTAGGAAATGTCTAATTCTTCCAACTCCATCAATACTGAATTTCATTGGACTTGTTTTGATGAAGTCTTCCCAAGATCAGTATACATTCTGAGGCATGTTGCTCTAACGTTTGGCTCCACAGCGAGGAAAGTCGAGGATCGCCCGATCAAGTCGGAGCGATCCCTTACCAGTCTAATTATTGAACTTTCGTGCTGGTTACATACTTGGATACTTGGATACTTGGACGCTCGTTGTCGGCTGATATTTCTCAGCGGCGAGCACACGCTTCCATCCATTTTTGACGATCTTGAGCGGTTTGGGACCAGTGTTGACCATCGTTTTCCTGAAGTTTCTTCAGTGAATCACTCCATCTCGTTGCAGGACGGCCTAGTGTGCGTTTAATCTCACGTGGGTACCAGAACGTGACGCGAGTGGTCCACCTGTCGTCCGTGCGTCTAACCACGTGCCCTGCCCATCGTTTCTTTGCGTTCCACGCGTACACTTCGGCGTCACGGATGCCGGACATTGAGCGCATGTCTGCGCTGCGGAGGTTAAGACTTCTCTGCTTTGCGCGGTTGATCTTCAGCAGCGTCCGTTCAGCAGCAGTGCCACGTGCTAGTTAATCTACCTTAAATTGATCAATCAAAATCGGAAGGCCTAGTTTTCGTTGTCGAGACAAAACGTCGTCCAGCTCTTTCGAGAAGCTCGACGGGAGCGATAGCTTTCTGTCCACAGCGCTTCGTGCGCATGGTGATCGGAACTTGCAGAAATCTGCAAAAACAGATGTAAGGACTTGCTTACGTGGCTTACATGCAGCCCTAGAGTGTGATTCCCATTCATTTCATCCGCTATCACACTTCCTCTTTCTCGGGCCTCAGTTTATTCCAAATGGGCCATTTTTCTTAGAACTAATCTTTATTTTTGTTATTCTTTGCTTCGTATCGTATGGACCATTTTTGCGACATCCTTTCTGTAAGGTGGGAGAAGCAAAACTCATGTCTGCATTATCTTTTCGACAAAAAGAAGTTGGTAGCGATAGCCGTTCAATTACATTACCACATTACAAATCGGTGATTCGGTCGGTGATAACGATTGATCTGTCGAGCGGTAGCAAAGTAGCGATGGTCATATCATACCCACTCTATTCTCTACAACTTGAACACTTTTATTTTCAAAGGAAGATGAGCATTACGATTCGATTATCGATACCAATCAATGTCGATTAGGTACATACCTGAAGACACTGATTTGTATCGATTGGACAACACCGATAGCGATACGCACGACACACATATATACATGTGAAGCATAAATGCATAATAGTGATGCTCGACAATCTAGCATCACTGACATCACCACTGTCACCCAATGATCAACGATTCGAGGAGAGGGCGCCAGTCAGGTCCTCATTTCGGCAGCATTGTTGTGTGTCTTAATCGCTGAAAGCCCCTAACAATAAGAATATCACTAAGTGAGTCGTCCCTTCCCTTTGAAGATTTCGAGAAGAAATTTGACTATTGGTTGCATTCGTGGTCTTTGTTCGATGTTTTCAAAGGTCTACCAGTAACCGCCGTGATCTTACAGCCGATATCAAGTTGTGTGATGTGTCTGCCCACCGTGATCTTCAATTTTTGGTGTGTTGGGCAGCGTCGTAGATATTCGATTGTTGACTGAACCCCTCTGCTCTGCTTCTGCGCGTATTCATTAACTCCGAGCAATCCTTTTCCCACAACAGGTTGGATGTTAGAGGCTGCATGTACCTCCTACCTGCGTAGAGATCGAATCTCTAAGGCGGAAGTCGAAGCGGGAAGGACCACACGGGTATTCACCGTATTTCTTACTGCCAGCACCCCTTCCGCAATTCACCTGCTGTTATCATCAACATGTTGCTCGCTTCCATCTGGTCAATTCTCATATCTTGTCCCTTGAAAAAGGTGCATGGTTTTCAAGGGGACGACGCAGGGGGGGGGGGGGGGGAGATGATGTCATTCTGCTAATTAACGTCGGAAAAGACTCTCTTAGAAAATTGCGAGTTTGTCCTGGGTCGTTAATTCGTTGAACAACTTGAAATTATTCTAGTAGGTTTAGTAGAAATACCTTGTTCTTCCAGGGGCAGACCGCTTCTGTCTCACAATATGCACTGTCGAACGCCATCTCAAAGTTGATGAACATAATCATAAAGTTTTGCACTCTTGCGATAATTCATGTACCGTTCTTGGCATTGTTTGATCACTGAAGCCATTTTCACGCAATAGAACATGACTAGGATCCCGTTCAAACAACAGCAGTTCCGTAGTCATAAACATATACAACCCCCTATGGTAACTAGATCAGAGAAACTTTATATTCCGCGAGTTGTGCGAATTATCCTGCTTCCTTGGCCACCAATGGAAGGGCATGTGTATCGTCGTTACAAACTAGGTTTCTTTTGCATTCGACTAACATGTATTACTCATTTCGTCCACTATTGCCCACAAAAATCCTTCAAAAAGAAAACTGAGGAAATCAATCCCATCGGCTTTCCTGCTATTCGTGCTCAGCCAAAGCAAAAAAAAAACTAGCTATGCGCACCGCTTTTAATTTTGGGATTTTTTGAGAAACTATGCTTTATGGTTCAGTATGCGTTCAGGGCCTTCTTCAAAGCCAAGATGTTCGCGGAACTGGAAACATATTGGATCGATATAAATCCTCACTGTGCCATTTGTATTATCGCAAAACTTTTTACAACTTCAAGAGTAAGCCTGCATATTTCTCATTTCAATTTAGTTCGTTGGGATCCTTCATATTCTCTTCCGCCAGCTACAGACGAACAAGTCGCTTTTCCTCTCACTAACGGAGGTCGTCTGTCGGATTACAAATGGATCGGAATCTACAATCAGTGTAACAATGTAACGCTTTCATACAATTTCCATAGTTTTAACTCCGAAGAGTCAAAACGCATTAAAGCGACGTGATGTATCACCATTTTAAATGTTAGCATACCCTTCCTATGTGAAAATTTCGATGTTCAAAACTTCTTTCATTAACGGTGAACTTTGCGCGTTCGGGTTTAACACCCCTCTCTAGGGTAACAAGGCAAAAACGATGATGCAAAATAATTCAGCGGTGACAAAACGGAAATATCTACGAAACCCCCTAGCCGCTAAACCCTACTTTTCTAGGATGCATTGGGGAAAACTGAGCCCTTATTGCGCCCTACCTGAGCCATTCAATGACTATTAATGGTCTCTTTCGGAACTCTCAGGAGTCATTGATTCCTTCCAATAAGAAATTTCCGAAGTCACTTCTATCGCGAAACAGGCATTTGGTAATTTCTTGACATAAATCATCATCAATAACTAATATCTATGTAAATATTGTCAACTGCAAGGCTTCGATCTCTTTCAGATGTCCGTTCCGCTAGTGTGGCTGCAGGACGTAGACCCACCAAGAGAGGAAGAAATCGGTGCAGTGGTAGCTTTAGAGCGAAACATCTCTAGCGGAGAAGTGCGAATACTAAACTGTAACACAATCTTGATTCCATCTCTGTTCTATGAAGCTGAGAGAGAATTGCCGAGTACGTGGCCTACTATATTACCTTGAAAAATCTATACCTCACGACAGTGCACGAACGAATGCTTCCAACAATATTCACGAAAAGCTGTGAGGATTCAAATTGTTTGCAAATGCAGATGACTTGATCAACACTGTAGTATATCGGCTATGCCACTCAAGATACCCAATCTTGAGAACTCTGTCACTACTAGATTAATATGGTGTGTGTGTGTGTGTGTGTGTGTGTGTGTGTGTGTGTGTGTGTGTGTGTGTGTGTGTGT